GATGATTCAACTATCTGAGTCCCTGCCACTTACTTGGGAGATCCAGATGGAATTCTGGGATATTGGTTTTAGCCTGGTTCAGCTCTGGCTGTTGTAGGCATTTAGAGAGTAAATCAGCAGATGGAAGATATTCTCTCTCTCTCTCTCTCTCTCTCTCTCTCTCCCCCTCCCTCCCTCCCTCCATCTTTCAAATAAATTGAAAATAATTAAATAAATTTGTAAGAATTAAAATAAAGAACTGGCCATAGGGACAGTGTAGAAATGACTACTGTCCTAGTTATAAAGACAATTTCCTCACAGATTTTCACTATCAGATTTTAAATGTAGCAATATCTACGACTGGAAAAGAAGTCTGACTGTCTTACAGTCTGGAAGATGAATACTGATTCTCTATGGAGCTATGCAGCTACAATATAGCCAGGGATGTCCGCATTAGAATTTTATTTTATAACTTCTTGCCAGTTGAAGTAGAAAACTGCTCTGTGTCGTTTTGATGTTGTTTCAGATTTCTAGGCAAGACCCTAAATGTAAAAGTCAATACTCTTGAAATATATAGAGTACAAACAAAGTTGTAAACACCCAATAAAGCCATTTTGTTATGTCTCTGTTCTTACAGAAACTCAACATATTGCATGAAGGTGTCAATGTCCTTGACTGTTGCAGAGAATGAATCAGGCCTGTGCTACAACAGCAGGATCCGCTATTTAGAAAAATCCGAAGTCACTAAAAGAAAGGAGATCTCCTGCCCAGACATGGATGACTTTAAAAAGTCTGATCAGGAGCCTGATGTTGTGTGGTACAAGGTAACTCAGCGTGGTGTCAAATGCATTTTTTACCTTGGTCAATAGCAAGCTTGGGGATAAGGAAAAGGAGAGGTTTTATTACTATTTTTTGCTATTAGATATTTCACTGAGAAGAATCCATACATTTACAACTAAATAACTCAGAGCTATGACTCCTATATACCACTGGTTTTCATGCATTTTCATCCACAGATGTCAGGATCAACTCTACCTTCTCCAGCTGCTAAAAATAAACAAAATTTCCCCCACCCCAAATTGTAACATCAAAGGGAAAGAAGGGTAAAGATACAAATGATACATGAAAGAAATTATTTGGGAAAGCATATGAATTTTATTTCCTGTTAGGAACAGCAAAGTCTCAGCCTTATAAGTAGTATTACTTACAAAGAACAACAACTGTTATCATGATCTATGTGAGAACTACTTCACTAAATGCAAATAGGAATGGGCAATCAAGGGTTGAACAGAAGATAGTTGAATGAAGACATTGTTTACAGAGGCATTGGCATGACTGAGGATTGAGGGAACCAATAAGGGAAGAAGTTGTTAATTATCACCTATAAGCCCATAGTGCTAAGGGAGGGGAAGGAGCAGTGTCATAGGAATCTGACAAGAGTGGAGGGGTGCGGCCAACACTGTAGCATAGTAGGCTAAGCCTCCACCTGAGGTGCTGGCATCCCATGTAGGAGCCAGTTCATATCCCTGCTGCTCCACTTATGATCTGGCTCTCTGGTTATGGCCTGGGAAACCAGTGGAGTATGTCCCAGGTGCTTGGGCCCCTGCACCCACATGGGAGACCCAGAAGCTCCTGGCTCCTGGCTTCAGATTGGCCCAATTCCAGCCACTGATACATTTGGGGCGTGGGCCAGCAGTTGGAAGACCTTTTTCTCTGTCTCTCCCTCTCCCTGTAACTCTCAAATAAATAAATAAAATATTAAAAAAAAAAAGAGTAGAGGGGTGCTGTTTAGAGTTGTGGCCTTAGAGAAACCTATGAGCATTGCATATGGGGAGAAAGCAGTTGGGATAAATAGATAAATATCCAACACCCTCTTACTTCCTGCCCATTGATTTCTTGCTAGTTGCTACCCTGACCCCCGCTGAATTCAAAGAGAAGCCAGAACTTGCACATAGAGTAGGGAAGACAAGGGAAGAGAATGGCTTAGGGGAGGAAGCAGAGAATAACCACACAAACTTCTAGGTGCAATACTCTGGCTGTTAGCCTGGGGCCCAATGGTACCATAATAGGAATAAGCACCCCCATTAGCTCTGAGCCATAGCAGTTGACACACTGTACACTTACATATGGAATAGCCAGAAATGACTAAGGAAATTTTCTGCACAGTGGTATGTGCATTTTTGGAATCAAACACAAATAACAGGTGGAGCAAGTTGTTTCTATAGGCTATGACAGAGCCTCAGTTCCCAGGGATGCCTAAACTCTAAGTGCAACAGACGGCATGTACTTCAATATTTGTAAGTCTCTCCATTTTCACACCTAGGGGAGCTCACCGATAGACATCAAGAACGTGTTCAGAACTAGGACATCCAGGTCTCTATGTGAATTGCCCCCCCTTTTTTTTCCTAAAAAGATAATATTATGGTAAGATAAAAAATAACATGATTGTTGTTTATAAATATAGCATATAGATTATTTATTGTTATTATGCCATCAGAGCCCTTCTTCCTATTTATTAAGCACTTTACCATGCTCCACTGTGTTAACCTTGATTTCTACATTGTCTCACTTATGTCTCAATGTAGTCAGTGCATGGGGGACAGAGGTGGGATTGAGGGATTTGCAGACTGCCTCCACTGCTGCTGGTCTGGCTGCAATCCCAGCCCTGGCCCTCAATGCCCCAAGGGTCCATGGCCATACAGGAACCTCTCCCTGGCCTGCATCTTTCTTTGTCTGCATCAGGTCAGCATGAGAACCATGCCAGGCCCCACGAGACCTGTACCCAGGTAGTCACAAACAGCCACGGTTACAATGGCAGCACAGGGCAGCTGCTGGGCAGCCCACTGGGTGTCCTGGGATGTGGACCCTGAGCCCAGCTGCCTGTTATAGCCCGAGGCCTCAACGTGGTGGTGACCATGAATGAGCTGACCCAGCAGCCCCCCATGGTGGGGAAACCCCAGGAACAAGATAGCAAAATGGACAAAATGAGGAGGATAAAGTGAGTAGGTGGAGGGGGTCGAGGAAGCCCCTGACCATGGGCCACCACAGGGTGCTCTTTGAGAAGCAAAATGACCTGCTGACTACAATTACGCACCCATCTTTGGCATGTTTGGCATCATGGTCATAGTTACAGAACTGGAGATATCCTGGAGTGTATGCCAAGGAGTCTCTGGTGTACACTAAAGAGTCTCTGTATTCATTTGCCCTCATTCCTCATCGGCCTGTTCACCATCATCCTGTTGGGCCTACTTGTTTTCTACCACATGTATGCTCTTGAGATCGAACAGTTCATGGTAGACAGCAGGGCAGATGACTGCTGCATCACCATGACATGTGAGTTCATCTTTGTCATCTCATCTTGAATCATTGCCACCTGAACTATGTGTGTCTGTAACAGGTACCACAGCTAGCAGAAAGTGACCAGCAACTTCCTGGGGGCCATATGGCTCATTCCCATCACCTTCCTGTCTGTCAGTTATGGGAACATGGTGCCTTACACATGCAGCATGAAGGGCATAGGCCTGCTCACTGGCATCATGAGAGCTGGCTGTACGTCTGTCACTTGTGGTGGCCTGGAAGCTAGAACTTAATGGGAGTTCCACAAGGGAGACCCTGATGGAGTTTTAAGCTCTTGGCTTCTGTCTGGCCCAGCCCTGCCCATTGTGGCCATTTGGGGAGTGAACCAGCAGATAGAACATACAAACATTTTCTCTTTCCCTCTTCCCCCCATACTCTAACATTCAAATAAATAAATAAATCTCTTTAAAAAAAAAAAAAGTCCCAGAGTCTCACATATGACCTTATGTTTGAGCTGTACATCCAGCAGGAAGACCTTTAATCCCATCTAGTTGCCATCAAAAGCTGCCTGGACAAGATGGGTGCCTCCCTGTGGACCCTGCCCAGCCTTCTCACCAAAGCCCTAAACCTGCCCACACCCCTGCAAATCCCCACCCCATCCCATGAGCCTGGCCCCAGCAGCCCCCTCCCCCAACAAGGCAACCTGGAGCCCTGTATACTTGTGGCTACCAGTGGCCTCTTCAGACTTTGGGTGACAAATGCCTAAACTTGGAGATTGTGTGGTGCCTCCTCCTCGCTGTGGTCTGGGAATCTTTCTATATTAGCATGTCTTGGAGTACAGGAAGCCAAAACTGAGTTGAATGGAGTAGACTGGGGCCTGCCCCACCCAGGCTGTGCCAGCAGAGGGCAGGAGAGCCCCAAGCCTCCTCTGGTCACTTGGCCATTCGGCTCTCCCCAGGACCCTTGTGGTTGTGGAATAGTTAGGGACAGGCAAGGTCCTTGCAGGTTCTGAAAAGAACCGATATCCATAGAAAAAAAAAAATCTCATTGCAGTGTGCTGTGTGCTGGGTGCTTTTATCCTTATTATATAGAGAAAGAAAACCTGAGATTTAGGGAGATGTAACTTACCCAGTGTTATGTGGCTAATAAAGCCTGGTTATGTATTCAAAGCAATGTGACTTCAGAATTCATTTAGTTAATGAGCTTTAGCTAAACCCAGCCTGATCATGGATACTTTTTAAAACAAATTTTATTTATTTTCATTTTATTTGAAAGGCAGAGAGAGAGAGATATCTTCCCACTGCTTGTTCACTCCCAAAATACCTATGACAGCCAAGCCAAAGCCAGCAACTTGGAAATTTTTTTTAACTTTTATTTAATAAATATAAATTTCCAAAGTACAGCTGATGTATTACAGTGGCTTTCCTCCCCCATAACTTCCCTCCCACCTGCAACCTTCCTATCTCCCGCTCCCTCTCCCATTCCATTCACATCAAGATTCATTTTCAATTATCTTTATATACAGAAGATCAATTTAGTATATATTAAGTAAAGATTTCATCAGTTTGCACCCACACAAAAACACAAAGTATAAAGTACTGTTTGAGTACTAGTTATAGCATTAATTCACATTGTACAACACATTAAGGACATAGATCCTACATGGGGAGTAAGTGCACTGTGACTCCTATTGTTGACTTAACAAATTGACACTCTTGTTTATGGCATCAGTAATCACCCTAAGCTCTTGTCATGAGTTACCAAGGCTATGGAAGCCTTTTGAGTTCACTGACTCTGATCTTATTTAGACAAGGTCATAGTCAAAGTGGAAGTTCTCTCCTCCCTTCAGAGAAAGGTACCTCCTTCTTTGATGGCCTGAGGAACTTGGACATTGATCCAAGTCTCCCATGTGGGGACCCAGTACTTGAGCCATTATCTGCTGCCTTCCAGTTTGTGGGTCAGTAAGAAGCAGAATTGGAGGTGGAGTAGCTGGGACTCCAACCACACATTCAGATATGGGATATGAGCATCCCATGGGGGAACTTAACTGTAGCGCCAAATGCCCACCCCTATGGGAACTTCTGTAAGAGGCAGTGCTGTTGCACAGGAGCCAGACAGAAGAGAGAGTAAGAAGGATTTATTGGGGGCCAGCATTGTGCTGGGATGCCAGCATCCCATACGGCCACCGGTTCGCACCCAGCTCCTCCACTTCTGATCCAGTTCCCTGTTAATGCTCCTGGGAATGCAGTAGAAGATGGCCCAAGTGCTTGGGCCCATGCACCCACGTGGGAGACCTGGATGAAGCTCCTGGCTCCTGGCTTCAGCCTGGCTCACCCTTGGCAGTTGCTGCCATTTAGTGAGTGAAGCAGTGGATGGAAAAATTCTCCTTCTCCTTCTTTCTCTCTCTCTAACTCTGCATTTCAAATACACAAAAAATAAATATTTTATAAAAGAGAAGGAGTTGTTGTAACTTTATTGTTTAGTCAGAGAAGATGACTGGGCCATGAGTCAGCAGCTGGGATTAAAA